TGCCGGATTTTGAGCTCCACTAATCTTTTCAAGTTTCAAAATCCCATCTTCCAGAAGAGACCGGATAAAATGATATCGCAATTGTATGTGCTTCGTTCTGGAATGAAAAAATGGATTTTTCGCTAGATGGATAACACTTTGACTGTCGCAATACAAGACATTGTTTTCTTGTTTCTTTCCTAACTCTTCCAAGAAACTTTGGAGCCAAACCTTCTCCTTGTTGGCTTCCGTAACAACGACATATTCTACTTCAGTTGTGGAGAGCAACTATCTTCTGTAGTTGAAAAACCCAACTCACTGTGGTTCCTCCTAGTATAGACATACCTTGTAGTGCTCCTTCTGATGTCAACATTTCTGGCTAAGTCAGCATCTACATAGCCTGACAGTATCGTATCTCCACCTTTGAAACAAAGTGCTCCTTCCAATTGCTAAGGCATACGGCACCTTCACCATGTGTGCACGTTCTTCCTCTGTCTTGGTGACTGTTCTTTGGAGAGTTTAAAATGAACACCTAAAGGTGTACTTACTGGTTTAGCATCTTGCATGTTGAACCTAGAGAGTACTTTGTTGATGTACTCAGCCTGTGATAACATCAAAGTCCCCAACTTTGTGTCTCTCTTAATCCTCATCACAAGAATCTACTTTGCAGCGCCCAGATCCTTCATAGCAAACTGCTTCGACAATTTTTGCTTCAAGTTTATAATCTCTTGCATGTCTGAGCCTGCAACGAGCATGTCATCACATACAACAATAAAATAATGAAGTTGTTGTCGAACCTCTTGATGTAGCAACAATGATCTGCTTGGCATCTGGTAAAATCACTGCTACTCATGAAACTATCAAACTTCTTGTACCACTGTCTAGGAGCTTGTTTTAAACCATATAAGCTCTTCTTCAACCTGAATACCAGGTTTTTCTTGCCTGCCTCTATGAAGCCTTCTGGCTGCCTCATATAGATTCTTCCTCCAAATCACCATGAAGGAAAGTTGTCTTTACATCTAATGCTCAAGATGTAAATTCTCTGCAGCTAAAATTTTCAACACCAATCTGATTGTAGACAGTTTTACGATTGGAGAGAAAATTTCATTGTAGTCAATACCTTCTTTTTGCTGAAAACCTTTGACAACCAATCTTGCTTTGTAATGTTTGCTCCCATCGTGCTCTTATTTGATCCTGTAAATCCACTTGTTGTGGATTGCTTTCTTGCCTGGTAGTAATTCAGCTAATTCTCATGTCTGATTTGACATAAGCGAGTCCATCTCATCTTTCATGGAAGACTCTCACTTGACTGAATCCTCCACTTGCATTGCTTCATCATAGCACTCTGGTTCACCATTGTCAGTTAGCAACAAGTAGTGCAAAGAAGAAGAATATCGCTTGGTTGGTTTAGGAATTCTGGAGGAACGTCTTAGTTCCGGTGTGCCTGGTTCTTCTTAAACTTCTTCAGGACTGATCTGAACATCATTTCCAGAAATCTTCTCGAACTCAACAAATTCCTTTATTTCAGCTTCGGTGTTTAGCTACTTGATTCTATGGTTAATCTGTCTTTGTACATCACATTCTCATTGAAAATAACATCTCTTCTTCTGATTATCTTCCGATTTTCATAGTCCCAAAACCGGTAACCGAACTCATCACCGCCATAACCAACAAAGGCACATTTGTTGGACTTAGCATCAAGTTTACTTCTTTCAGCAGAGTCTATGTATACAAAATAAATACAACCAAACACTTTTAAGTGTGAAAGGTTTATTTCTTTCTTGCTCCAAACTTCCTCTGGTATTCCGCCATCTATAGGAACTGAGGGCCCACGGTTGATCAGGTAAGCTACAGTGTTGATAGCTTCAGCCCATAGAATTTTGGGCAAGCCGGCATGTATCCTCATGCTTCTGGCACGTTCATTCAGAGTTTTGTTCATGCGCTCTGCTACGCCATTCTATTGCGGTGTCATGGGAACTGTTGTCTTCATCTTGATCCCATTGTTTGCGCAGAAATCTCTGAATCTCCTATTTCTGTACTCTCCTCCATTATCAGACCTCAACCGCTTGACTTTCAAACCAGTCTCATTTTCCACCATGGCTTTCCATTTTCTGAAGGTATCAAAGACTTCTGATTTCTTCTTTAGAAAATAAACCCACACCTTCCTTGTTGAATCATCGATGAAGGTGACATAATATAATGAGCCTACAAGAGATGGAACTGGAGATAGTCCCATACATCAGTATGAATCAACTCTAACTTTTCAACCTTGGGTGTCTTACCAATCTTTGCAAACCTGACTTTATTTTGTTTTCCAAAGATGCAATCCTCACATAGTCCGACATCTACATTCTTTAGATCCGACAGCTTCCCTTTTGACAAAAGTGTCTTCATCCTTTTCTCGCTCATATGACCAAGCCTTTGGTGCCATAGGTTTGATTTTCCATCAGCATCTGCTACTGTAATATTCTCTAAATTTGAGGTTACATAGAGAGTGTCAGTCTTCTTACCACGAGCAATGACAAGTGCTCCTTTGGTAATCTTCCATTCACAGCCTGAAAAGGTTGTGCTATATCCTTCTCCATCAAGCTGTCTTACATAAATCAAATTTCTTTTGAGGCCAGGAATATGTCTCACTCCTTTCAGCATCTAGGTGGTCTGGTTTGGCAACTTTAATCGGATGTCTTCTTTTCCGACGATCTTCAAGGTTTCAGCATCAGCTAGATGAATTTAGGTGGCTGCCTAATTTTGTTGAATTTAGGCTTAGGTTAATCATACATTTAGTCATTGCACTTTAGGGTATTTTCAAAGATTAGTCCCTAAGCTTCAACTATAAATACCCTAGTTCATTTAGCTTCAAAATCATCCCAAATCATTTCTTTCTCCCAATACTAGAGTTTTCTTGTGAGTAGTGAGTGTTTTGTAAACACCTGTAAATTTCTCTTTAGTAAAAGATCTGCAGCAGTCCAGAGACGTAAGCACAATTGGCTGAACTCCGTTATCAATTTCGGGTATTATTTTTCCGTTTTTTATTTCACATTCTCATTAATCTGGTTATAGGGAAATTACTCGTTACTTGTTTATTTCCCAACAACTGGTAATCAGAGTTTTTGGTTGTGAATTTTGTCAATTTTTTGCGAGGTTACTATTCACGTGAATAGGCGATTATTCAATTTACAGATGACGGAAGGGGCATCAATTGCACAACACCTAAATGAACTCAACACAATCACAACCCAATTGAGTTCAGTAGAAATTGAATTCGATGATGAAGTTCGAGCTTTAATTCTTATCATCTCTATCAGACAGTTGGAATGCTACTGTTACAGCAGTCAGCTCGTCGGGAAACAACAAATTAAAATTCGACGATTTTCGGGATCTGGTATTGAGCGAAGAAATTCGACGGAGAGAATCGGGTGAAGCATCAACCTCCTCATCCTTGCACACGGAGTCCAGAGGAAGAACTTCAGAAAGAAATTCAAATTGTGGCAGATTGAAATCCAAGAGGGGCAAATCAAGAACAGGAAAGAAAGATCTTATCTGTTATAATTGTGGCAAGAAGGGTTACTTTAAAAGAGATTGTCGAGCACTGAAGAAAGATACAGGTGCACAGGAATCTGTCAACGTGACAGATGAGACAGGTGATGCCATGATTCTAAGCATCAATAGTCCGATTGAATCATGGATCTTGGATTCAGGGGCATCTTTCCACTCCACCCCATGCCAAGAAAACTCTCTAGTATTGGGAGAAAGAAATGATTTGGGATGATTTTGAAGCTAATGAGCTAGGGTATTTATAGTTGAAGTTTAGGGACTAATCTTTGAAAATACCCTAAAGTGCAATGACTAAATGTGTGATTAACCCAAGCCTAAATTCAACAAAATTAGGCAGACACCTATTTAACAGCCCATGTGTTGCATGTGTTGCCATCCAACTTTGACTTCCAACAGTTTGAAGCTTCTTATGATCTGAAATTTCATTTTACCTTATTTTGTTCATTGTTGGGTATAACTGAACTTGATAATGTTTAGCTTCAGTTTCTAATCCTGTTTTAGAAAATATTATCTTGTTACTGCTGGCTGGTTGTTAGCTGATAATAGTATGGGACTATTCGACACAATTAAGATAGGAGCGTTGTAAGCATGTAAAAGCTTTGACTAAATTTTTCCTGTTGAGCAAGTTGGAACAAAACGAGAAGTGTTAACGGTGGATACCACTACAAATCGAATCAATAACTTATTTTTCAAGGTGACATAAACTAGTGATTTTTTCCTTCTTTTGTTACTACATGTTGCAAACTTGAAATACATAGCGATTTTCTTTGATTAAAAGGTGAGATCACTTCGAATGAGCGGTTCATGTGCATTGAACCTTTGTGGAATTGCATGTGGAAGGTTTGACCTGTTTTACGAACTTGGATATGGTGGCCCGTGGTATGCGTTTAATCATTTTAATTTTGATGAAGGTCTGGGTTCAGTAAATAATTGACAGTGTCGGCCTCTTTGTTCAGGGATGTAGCAGCTGGTGTTTTAATCGTTAAAGAAGCCAGAGGCCTTGTTTATGATCCGTAAGAAGCTAACACGTTTAACCAATCATATCTTTGTATTTCATTTTTGTAATCTAAACTGAAAGTTTATACTTGATGTTAACCGGTTGCGGCTTTTGTTTTTGGGTTAGGTTTGGTAAAGATTTCGAAATCACAGTTCCCAAAGTTACTGCTTCAAATCCATTCCTCAAAGACGCATTGTCGAGGTTTTGAAGCAAACGGAGTGAGGTTGCTTTTGTGTAATCTACCATTATTTGATTTGGATATGGATATGGATATGGAAAGCCTATATTGAACTTATAACTCGCGTCATTGCATTTGCCAATATAAATTTGCTTTTGTTGAATGATTATTAGTTGGTGATTGATCAAATTTACCGGAATCGAAAACAATCTAATGGGAAATTATAGTAAATTACTGACCATTGTTGTTCAAATCAGATCGTACTGGTCGGTTGAATGGGAAACCGGTGGTTTATCGAGGCAAATCCATTGAAAATGTCCCTAAACTGGTAACGCTATACTGCCTAAGTGACATGTCGCTATAAAGATTCAAAGCTGATGAACTCTCAGAGCTGTGTAAATCCTGTTTATCGAACAAAAAGTGAGTCTCCTCACGGTTAACTTGATGCCAAGGATATTTGTAAATCTGTCTTGACCCGGCGAGCTCTAACACCACTTCTTTCATTGTAGGCTGTTCTTCGCCCTTCAACCAAAGACATCTCATTCCAAGATCTGCAATGGCTTCAAGTTGTTCTATGTTCCCCTCATTTGCAAGTCTGGCTCCAGGATTCGACAAGACGACCCTGTTGCATTGCTTGAATGAAGTAAGAAGATAAATTATTTGGGCTTCAGGTCTTTGAGATGACACCGGCAACTGCCCTGTCAGTAGTTCCACTAGCACCACCCCAAAGCTGTAGACATCACTCTTCTCTGTCAGTCGGCTTGTTTGGAAGTATTCTGGATCCAAGTACCTGAGGGTTCCTTTAACCAGGGTCGTTATTTGAGACTGGTCAGCAGGAATCGACCTTGAAGCTCCAAAATCTGCGACTTTCGCGGTGTAGTTGTCGTCCTATAATATGTTGGAAGATTTGATATCACGGTGAATGATGGGAACCTCGAATGCAGAGTGGAGATAAGCAAGAGCACTTGCAGTTTCGGTGGCTATCCGTAATCGATCTTCCCACGAGATCAACCTTCTCCTGGTGAGATTATGAATATGGTAGTGAAGGCTCTCATTAGGAGCATATTCATAAACCAGTAGCGGAACCTCGGTTTCCAAACAATATCCCAAGAGCTTAACGACATTGTGATGATTGATTTTAGTGAACACAACAACCTCATTGATGAACTCATTGATACGGTTCCTGTTGACCATTCTCGACTTCTTTACGGGGATGACCCGACCGTTGCATAGAGTTCCTTTGTAAACTGTTCCACTGCCTCCTCGACCAACCACTCGACTCTCTGCGTAATTATCAATGGCCTCTGCTAACTCTTGTATAGTAAAGATTTTTGGGGGTTCTCCGGAACCTTCATGGAAAGCAATTTGCTGCAATAACGAGAAACCTCTATTTTGTCTGAAGTACTTGTTTGAGGTTCATTAACTCCGTCTCTTTGTGCACATGTATACAGATGGGGCTAGGAGAATCTCAAACAAGAGACAGTCAAAAAATGTGACGTATTTGAATTCGTTAGGTCGTGTAAATAATTATTTTACCCTCTGAATCATTATATCAAAGTATGAGGTTACCTAGAACAACCGGCAATGGAAAGCTGCAACTATAGCTACCAAGTAAATTAGTGCAAGTACCGTTCCCTTGAGCAATGTGCTGTTTGTCTTCGAGAATCCATGTTCGACACTGTGTTAGTTGATAGTATAACTTTGCTAGATGACATAAAAGATTAATCGAGTGTCGCATCATCAAAATGATTAAAGATTTACGTACCTGGGCATCCTGAGCTGAGATAAGGGTTCCCTGTGTAACCATGTTTGCATCTGCAACGATAACCTCGACTTGTACTACCTGATTCATATCTGACACAGTCGATGTTCATTCCTTTGCAACTTGTTCCAACTGCTTCACTATTCTCATTGGCTATAACCCAATCGAGAACCAATGAGGAATTCTCAATCTTCGATGAGGAACAACTATCGAGATCCGATGCCTTGAACCTGTAGCTCTCTTGGTCCACCACGAAAGCATACCACAATTATCATTAGCCGTGGAGACATTGTATAGATCATTTATCTTGGAATCGTTGAGAAGGTTCTCAATAATATCTACGTGAATCGTAGTAGTACCCTCAGGAATGGAGTCTTGATAGCATCCGAGCCCCGAGCAGGGCCCACTGGTAACATCCTGATACTTGTCGTTGCACACTGAGAAGCAGCCAGTAGTGATATTCACATCCTGAAGGTATAATAAACCGAGGGAGTTCTAGCCTATGACCGTGAACTGTTTGCAGTGTTGTGAGAATAAACGGTGTATTGGTCAAAATGATGTTGGCTACACTCGAAACTGGAGTTCCGTACCCTGTGCCACAGAACATGCTGTTCCTTACACGAACCTGGTTACAAGCTACGGATATATCGACTACCTCATGCAGATCAGCCCCCAAGCGTAAGAATGGCTTCGGTGAATTGTAGGAAGCGTTGCAAGTTATTTCGAAGTCGTGCATAAAACATCCTTCACTGATACCGAAAGGGTAATCGATTGAGAAATTCCCACAGCTCCGTTGGCAGCCGGGCTTCGGGTCTCCTGTTGCCAATGATAAAAACAATGCCAAAATAATCCATGGAAGCCTGAGCAAAGGACGATGAGATGAAACCATTCGCGTAAGTGGTGTATAGAGTAGAGCACAATACGAATTATGATAAAATGGAGGACAATCATATTATTAAAGATCATAAGTGTCGCTCTCCGAATAAACAAAGAAAAAACCTAATAGTTTAAACTATATTAATGCCCTTTCCTTTTCTAATACGTTTATGACATTATCACCTTGTTTATCATATAAGGTAAAGTGATTGTATAGAGACACTTGTCACGTACGAGGAAATGAAATCAGATCAAGTAACATAAAAAAATATGTAGAGATAAAGGCAAAAGTCCCCCCTCTAATTTGTTTAATACTAATCTACACATAGTTTTGACCATACATAATAGTAAAATGTGTTTGAATTCTTTAAACAATAAAATTCTAAAACTAACAAATTTCAAGTTCAACGCAATTTTTAAACTTCCTTTCACAATTTCAATAGTTAAGTCATTAATGTTGATTGATTATTATGGTTAAAGCAATGCGCTCATTGGTTGGTGTTAGAGTAGCTGATGAAGTTGTGTTGTCTAATCTTGTTAGAGGTTATTGGGTTGATTTTCACTACATTTCATAGTGATTGTGATTATATCTTTTAATTAGATATAGATGTTATGAATCAATGAGTGCAGTTAAATTTTTGTTATCAGGCTGTTGTTGATTGTGCTGCACCAGTAGTTAGGTTGTTAGGCTTCTGTTAGTATGCTCTTAACTGGTCATTTGCATCCATTCATTGTATAAGTTGTTGAAAATCAATTCAAAGTTCACGGCTGCTGCTTTGGTCAAATTTGGAAATTCATGGCTGCTATTTTGGTTCAAATTGGGCAGTAAAATGGCTGAAAATTAGCAAGGTACAATTACAATTTTAGTCACTGTAATTTTAGGGTATTTATAAGATTAGTCCTTAAGCTTCAACTATAAATATCCTAGCTCATTTAGCTTCAAAATCATCCCCAAAGCATTCTAGCTTTCTTCCAATACTAGAGAATTTAGAGAGTTTTTTTAGAGTTGTTTTCTCCTTTATCAAGAGAGAATTATCATTGTTTTCTTCTTGGTAGATAGAGAGAAGTTGTAATTCCTATTTTCTCATAGTGAAATTCTTCTACCGTTGCCCATGGTTTTTACCCTATATTATTTAGGGGTTTTCCACGTAAATTTTGTCTCTTTTATCCTCATTTTTATTTTCTCAAATTATCAGTTGCGATTTTGCTCTATTCGATAGCCGTCTTCCGCAACAATTGGTATCCGAGCCAGATTTGAGTGTGTAATATCTGCTTATTGTCTTTGTGGTTGCCACTAAAAGGTGGATCCTCTAACATAAGAAAGCAAGAAGTTATTACCCAATCTTTGAAGGTTCCAGAGAACTATTCATGATAGTGAAATAGTGGGAGCTATCCGTAAAAGAAGTTATGCAACGAAATTTGATATTGAAAAATTCAATGGGAGAAATTTCTCATTGTGGAAATTGAAGATGAAGGTTATCCTGAGGAAAGACGGATGTCTAGCAGCTATCAGTGAAAGGCCGGTAGATTTTACAGATGACAATAAATGGATCGAAATGGACGGGAATGCTATGGAAAACTTTCATTTAGCATTAGCAGATGAAGTATTGTCAAGCATCGAGGATAAGAAGTCATCTAAGGAGATATGGGATCATCTTACCAAATTGTACGAGGCTACATCATTGCACAATAAAATTTTCCTTAAGAGAAAATTGTACACTCTCCGGATGCCAGAATCTACTTCAGTGACGGAGCACTTAAACGCGAACACTTTATTTTCTCAGCTTACATCCTTAAGATGTACAATAGGAGAACAAGAACGTGTTGAACTTCTACTTCAAACTCTACCTAATTCACATGATCAACTCATCATCAACTTGACAAACAGTAATGTCACCAATCTAGTATTCGATGACATTACAGTTGTTGTTCTATAAGAAGAAAATCGGTGCAAGAACAAGGAAGACAGACAAGTAAATCTGCAACAAGCAGAAGCGTTGACAACGATGAGAGGGAGATCAACAGAACGTGGCCAAAGCAGTAGTCACAAACATGGTAGATCGAAGTCGATAAGCAAGAAGAATTTAAAGTGCTATAACTGGAAAGAAGGGTCACTTGAAGAAGGATTGTTGGAGTCTAAATAAAACTCCAATCCACAAGGCAATACCGCAAATACTTCAGATGATGGAGATGCTCTATCCTGTGAAGCGTCAACCACCATGGAAGGTAGAAAGAGATATGCAGATATATGGCTCATTGATTCGGAGCAACATATCACATGACTTCAAGAAGAGAATGGTTTCATCATTATGAATATGTCTTAGGAGGATCTGTGTATAGTTGCAATGATCATACCTTGGAGATCGTTTGGCGTTGGAACCATCAAATTGAAGATGTACGATGGAACAATTAAAGTTGCTCGAGATATGCGGCACGTGAAAGGCCTGAAGAAAAATTTATTATCATACGGATTGTTGGATAATAATGCTAGCAAGATTGAAACACAAAAAGGAATCATGAAGGTATTCCGTGGAGCGCTTGTGGTGCTGAAAGGCGAAAAGATAGCAGCAAACTTGTACATGTTGAAGGGAGAGACTTTGCTAGAAGCAGAAGCCTCTGTTGCCTCATGTAGTTCAGATTCTGCAATTCTATGGCATCAGAAACTTGGACACATATCTGAACAATGAATGAAAGTTCTTGTAGAGCAAAAGCTACTTCCAAGCTTAACAAATGTATCACTTACTTTGTGAGCATTGCATAACAAGTAAGCAGCACCGGTTAAAATTCAACACATCAAATTCCAGAGGCAAAAGTGTTCTAGAATTGATTCACTCTGACGTATGGCAAGCACCAGTTACATCCCTAGGCGTAGCAAATTACTTTGTCTTTATGATGACTACTCCAGGAGATGTTGGGTGTACCCTATTAAAAATAAGTCAGATGTTTTAACTTTCAAAAACTTCAAAGCGTGGCTGGAACTTGATTCTGGAAATAAGATCAAGTGTTTCAAAATAGATAATGGAGGAGAATACACAAGTGAAGAATTTGATGACTTTTGTAGGAAAGAAAGCATCAAAAGACAGTTCACACTGGCGAACACTCCTCAACAAAATGGAGTGGCAGAGCAGATGAACAGAACCTTGTTAGAAAGAACAAGAGCAATGTTGAGGGATAGGCCTAGAAAAATCATTCTAGGCATAAGCAGTCAATACCGCCTGTTATTTGGTGAATCGAGCTCCATCAACTGCAATAGAGCTAAAAACACCAATGGAGATTTAGACTGGTAAACCAACTGATTATTCAAACCTCCATGTATTTGGAAGTATTGTGTACGTGATGTACAACTCCCAAGAAATCTCAAATTTAGATCCAAAATCCAGGAAATGCAAATTCTTGGGGTATGTTGATGGAGTCAAGGGGTATCGCTTGTGTGATCCTACTGCCCGCAAAGTGATCATCAGCAGGGATGTTATCTTTGTAGAAGATACTACAAAGAAAATAAGACGATGATAGTACAGAAAAGTCAGAGACTACACAGATACATGTTGAAAACGAGGTTGAACAAGGAGATTCTTCTGAAGCAGAACCAACACATGATGAACAAGAACCAGAGAGTTGTGAAGCTCCAACAACTTATCAATCAGATCATGTGAGAAGACGTCCCAATTGGCACTCAGATTATGTTATAGAATGAAATGTTGCATATTGTCTTTTAACAGAGGACGGTGAGCCATCAACATACCAGGAGGAAAAAAACAACTCATATGCTTCACTGTGGATAATGACGATGCAAGAAGAAATTGAAGCCCTTCATAAAAATAATACATGGGACCTTGTACCACTACCACAAGGAAGGAAGCCAATTGGTAACAAATGGGTCTTCAAAATCAAGCGAAATGGTGACGATCAAGTGGAGGTATCGTGCAAGACTGGTGGTCAAGGATATGCTGAAAAAAAAGGTATTGATTTCAATGAAATTTGCTCATGTTGTTCGACTAACAACAATTCGGGTAGTTTTGGCAATGTGCTACATTGAACTTACATCTAGAGCAACTAGATGTTAAACAGCTTTTCTTCATGTAAATCTTAAAGAAGAAATTTGCATGCTCCAGCCTGAAGGTTTTGAAGAAAAAGAAAAAAAGAACTTGGTTTACAGGTTGAACAAATCTCTGTACGGTCTAAAGCATGCGCCAAGGTGTTGGTATAAGATTTGATTCCTTCATTATGTGCCTTGGATACAACAGACTTAATGCAGACCCTTGTGCTTATTTCAAGCGATCTGGTGATAACGATTTTGTTATTTTTTTGTTGTATGTGGATGACATGTTGGTTGCAGGACCCAACAAATCATATTGAAGAATTGAAGGCACAATTGGCTAGGAATTTGAAATGAAGGACTTGGGATCAGCAAACAAGATTCTAGGGATGCAAATTCACTGAGACAAGTAATAGGAAGATTTAGCTTTCACAAAAAATTACTTGAAGAAGATCTTGTCAATTCAACATGCATTGTAAGCCAATTTTTACCCCTCATATTAACTTCAAATTATCCTCCAATATGAGTCCTAGCAGTGAAGAAGGGAGGATGGAGATGTCTCGAGTACCGTATGCATCAACAGTGGGAAGTTTAATGTTCGCTATGATATGCACAAGACCAGACATTGCACAAGCAGTGGGAGTGGTTAGTCGGCACATGGCGAATCCAGGCAAAGAGTATTGAAATATAGTAAAGAGGGTTTTGAGATACATCAAAAGGACATCAAATGTTGCATTATGTTACGGAGGATCAAACTTACTAATCAATGGGTATGTAGATTTTGACTATGTAGTGGATTTGGATAAAAGCAAATCTACTACAAGATATGTGTTCAAAGTTGCTGGTGGATATGTAAGTTGGGTTTTAAAATTGCAGTCAGTTGTGGCTACATCCACAACAGAAGCAGAATACGTAGCAGCTACACAAGCCAGTAAAGAAATTTGGTTGAAGATGCTATTGGAGGAGCTTGGGCACAATCAAAAGTATGTCTCTCTGTTTTGTGATAGTCAAAGCGCCTTGCATCTAGCAAGGAATCTAGCATTTCATTCAAGGACAAATCACATATGAGTTCAGTATCATTTCATTCGTGAAAATGTGAAAGAAAGAACGGTAGATATACAGAAGATCCATACCAAAGACAATAGCAGATTTCATGACGAAGGCGATCAATACCGATAAATTTACTTGGTGTCGATCCTCTTGTGGCCTGTCAGAGATGTAAGCAACATGAAGGTACAAGGTAGATAGAATGGTGTGAATATATGATTGTTCCAATCAAATCTTCAAGTGGGAGATTATTGAAAATCAATTCAAAGTTCACGGTTGCTGCTTTGGTCAAATTTGGAAATTCATGGCTGCTATTTTGGTTCAAATTGGGCGGCTAAAATGGTTGAAAATTAGCAAGGTACAATTTTAATTTTAGTCATTATAATTTTAGGGTATTTACAAGATTAGTCCTTAAGCTTCAACTATAAATACTCTAGCTCTTTTAGCTTCAAAACCATCCTAAAACATTCTAGCTTTCTTCTCATACTAGAGAGTTTCTTGAGAGTTGTTTTCTCCTTTTTATCAAGAGAGAATTATCATTGTTTTCTCCTTGGTAGATAGAGAGAAGTTGTAATTCCTATTTTCTCATAGTGAAATTCTTCTACTGTTGCCCGTGGTTTTTACCCTATATTATTTAGGGGTTTTCCACGTAAATTTCATGTCTCTTTTATCCTCATTTTTTATTTTCTGAAATTATCAGTTGCGATTTTGCTCTATCCGATAGTCGTCTTCCGCAACATAAGTTACCTTAGTTCTCGTTTATGAAAAATCTCATAGTAATGCCTCTTTCTTCTAATGGTGAATCCAACAGTATACATTGCTACTTTCCTATTTAGAAATGAAAATGGCTACTTAAAAGTTGCTTATTTTACTGATAATGCATGAGAGGACCCTGTTTTTAATCATCTCAAGCAGCATTACCCCTCTTATAAGCTTAGCGATTTTTCTTTGTCTAGTTATCTACCATGTATCAAGATTCGAATACGAGTGTTCTCAAAAGCAAAACTAAAATTGATTAAATTATGGATTTGATTATATTTCGTATTTTGCGATTAGGTTGAAGATTTGGATAAAACAATTCAAATCTTATGATAGCATGATCTTCACAAAATCCCCGAATTAAAGAGGAAAATCGGAATTCAAGAAGCTAGCAAGACCAGAGAAGGTTTTCGCGTAAGGCGTGGGCACGGCTTATTCATTCTGAATACCGTAGAAGAAGTCTACAGTTAAGGCGTGGGCGCGCTTACCAGTTCGTACAACCCTAAATTAGGGTTACAATTTCAAGGAAAAAGAGTAATGCGGTTGGAAGACTCTTTTGAATTATTCTTATCTTTAGAAAAAGATGAGGGCATTTAAACTCCTATTTTTGTGGGATTTTCTTTAAGGGAAACTTCTTATCTAGAATAGGAAAATCCTTATAAAAGGGGAGCTAGGGCCATTAGTTTTGCATCAAGTTTTACATTAAGTTTTCTTTATTTTCTTTTGGTTTTCTTTCAATTATGAGTAGCTAAATACTTTTGTTCCAATAGAGGATATGAAGCTTTGGTTCTTCAAGGATTGTGAGATCTAAATAATTTTCATTGTTCTTTTACTTCTTTGCTATTTATATATCTTTTATTTTTATTAAGAATTATTGTCTTGATTGATTGTGCAAAGGATCCGTTGTTCAATTATCAAGTTGATAAATTGTCATTTAGAACTTAAATCCGTAATTGTTTAAACGTTCTAATATTAGTGGTAAAGTAACATGGTTGATTATGATTATGTATGAAGGTATATAACCTAGTCTAAATGAATCGAGCTTGTGTATTCGTTGGCTAGAATTGGTGGTCCCTCTAGTGATTAATGTTGTTGGTGGATTAAATCTTAAGAGCTTGTCTAGGGTTGTTCATTAATAGGGAAATAATCAAGAGCTTTTCTTGATTATCGAGAAACTAAGGAGAGACAGGTTGTTAGAGCTTCTCATAGCCATAACCAATTTAGTGAAAAGTAAAGATTTATCATTGCATCTATAATCAATTCTCTGAACCAATTCTGAAATTACACTTTAGTTGAATATTTGCTTAATATTAATTTCTTTAAATTCTTAGTTAATATAATTGTTTTTTTCTTTTTATCTTCTCAATTTTAAAACCCCTTTTCTTTGCTTTAATTTTCATTAAAAAAATCTACTCAATCCCTGTAGATTCGACATTACTTATCGCTGCTACAATTTTATATTTCCAAAAGTAAGTATTATTATTTGTTGGATTCAAACACCTACCAATTAGATATATCAATAAAATATAAAAAAAATTTAAAATATAAAAGAATTTAAAAATTTTAGGAGTTCGACCGTACCCAACCCTCAGTCGATCCCAGTTCCTACAGTTGGTGTTGTTTACAATCCAAAATGAATGAGGTAAGAATTGCCCTTTAGAAGACGTTTGTCTGTTCTTTATCACAGTTAAACGAATGTTCTCGGGATTATGGCATGCAGCTCCTTACTGCTGTACTTGGAAAATGTGCTTTCTCAATGGGACCCCTGTACATAGGTCCGAAAACTTGAACTGAAATATCTTAAAGATTTGTTCTTCTGCTCTGAAATTTTTTCAGTGTCATCTCAAACCAAACTCGTCAAGTCTCTAATTGCAACAGAGATTTGGAGCTTCTTATATCTGAAATTTCATTTTACCTTATTTTTCATTGTTGGGTGTAACTGAACTTGATAATGTTTGGCTCCAGTTTCTAACCCTGTTTTAGAAAATTAGCGCTGGCTGGTTGTTAGCAGATAATAGTATGGGACTATGCGACACAATTAAGATAGGAGCGCTGTAAGCATGTAAAAGCTCGACTAATTTTTCCTGTTGAGCAGGTTGGAACAAACGAGATGTGTTAACGGTGGATACCACTACATCGAATCAATAACTTACTCTTCAAAGGCTTAATATCTATGAACAATCGTGAATCCTGATAATAAATAACCCAACAGTAAAATAAAAACGACCTTTGTCAAAAGATCTGCTATAAGATTCATGTATGTCCACACACTATACTACACTTGGCGATATTATCTATACTCCTTTTCATATACATACATGTAATCTATATAAATTTACATATGCATATGCATATGCATATGCATATAGAACAAATACAAAATTTTATACTTAATATATTATATATACAGCCCGCATAACACATATTTTAGCTAAACACTTCCCTAAAAACTTCTAATATAAGAATGATTAACGAGGGAAATCCATTGAAATTGTTCCGAAATTGTGAATGCTATATTGCCCAGTTGACATGTCTCTGTAAAGATTCACTACTGATGAATTCTCAGCGATGTGTGAGTCCAGTTGTTCATCGAGCAAGCAGTGACTCTCCCCATGGTTAACTTGATCCCAAGATTTTTGTTGATCCCTCTCGTCCCTGCAAGCTCTAACACCACTTCTTTCATCGTAGGCCGTTTTTCACCCTTCAATCGAAGACATCTCATTGCCAGATCCGCAACAGCTTTGTATTGTTCTTTTTTCCCTTCATTTGCGAGTCGGGGGTCGAGAATTTGAAAGAGACGATCCTGTTGCATTGCCAGAATGAAGTAAGAAGATAAGTTCCTTTGGGCTTCAGGTCTTGCAAATGATACTGGTAACTGTCCTGTTAACAGTTCCCCTAGCACCACTCCAAAACTGTAAACATCACTCTTTTCTTTCAGTTGCTTGTTTGGAAGTACTCCGGATCCAAGTACCCAGTGTTCCTTTAACCAGAGTCGTAATTTGAGTCTGATCAGCAGGAATAAGCCTCGAAGCTCCAAAATCTGAGACTTTCGCGTTGTACTTGTCGTCCAATAATATGTTAGAAGATTTAACGTCACGGTGGATGATGGGAATTACAGCTGAAGAGTGGAGATAAGCAAGAGCATTCGCAGTTTCTGTGGCAATCCGCAATCGATCTTCCCACGAGATTAACCTCGCCTTGTTAGGATTGTGAAGATGGTAGTGGAGGCTGTTATTGGGAAATATTCATAACCAGTAAAGGAACCTCGGTTTCCAAACAACATCCTAAGAGCTTCACACATTTCGATGGTTGATTTGAGAGAGAACAACAACCTCATTGATGAACTCTTCGATATGGTTCTCATCGACCATTCTCGACTTCTTTACCGCTACCACTCTACCGTCAACTAGGATTCCTTTGTAAACTGTTCCATTGCCTCCTCGACCAACTACTCGACTCTCTGCAATTGTCAGTGGCCTTAGCTAACTCTTGTGTTGTAAAGATTTTTGTGGGCTCACCAGAACCTTCATGGAAAACAATTTGCTGCTGCAACAATAAACCTCCATTTTGTTGGAAGAATTTTTGTTTGAGGTTGATTAACTTTCTTCTTTTTATGCAAATGTATAAAGAAGGAGCTAGGAGAAGCAAGAACAAGAGACTGCCAATGCCTGCAAGAATTAAATCATGCATAAGGTCCTTCTTTTTCTCACTGGAACGAATCATTTATTTGTCAAATTGCTTAGGAGGTTTACCGAGAACAAGCTGCAATGTTGGAAACTTTGAAACCTTGCAATGATATCCACCAGCTAAGTTAATGCAAGTCCCTTTGCCTTCACAAGGGTTGTGCGGAGCTATACACTCATCGATGTCTTCAAGAATCAATATTCCAATATTATGTGTTAGCTGATAGTAAACAATTTGCTAGATGAAATACAAAACATACATCATACGATGAGTGAAAATGATTAGCAAGAGATCAAACTTAGAATTTGATGTCAATTAGGAGTTGAAGAAGATGTTGGATGACTAAAGCATGGTACAACGTTCACAGTGGCGAATTCAAAAAAAAATTATTAGGTAGGCCAATAAAATATAATAAAAATAAACATAATATCAAAAGTAAATCATAATGTTGATTAAATGATCATTTTGGCCCCTATTCAGTTTTTGGAGCATTTTGGCCCCTAGTGTTTCGTTTTAGGGCCAAAAGCTCTCTCTATAGATAAAAACTATCAGTTAACATATAAATTAATGCTCCAAAATAGAAGTTTTTTAACCTAAAATAAAACGTTGAAGGTTAAAATGTTCCGGAAAAAATAAGGGACAAAGTAATTATTTTATCAAATGATAGGAGTTTTTTTTGTTCTAAAATGAAACTTTGAGGTCAAATTGATGAATATGACTTAAAATAACTATTTTAACAATTGTTAGATATTAATTTTGACACAATACTTAAAAAAAAATTATCTTAGCATAATTTATATGTATTTTTAAATGTTAAAATATAATGAAAATAATATATACTTAGACTCAATCTAAAAATATATATACCATGCCAATATAATTTTTAATATAAGTTATATTTTTTATTTGAATTATATTTTCATTTTTTAAATTTTTAAAACATGAGGTGGGTTATAGGCTAGGTAGGCCCACTCTTAGATACGTCACTGAACGTTGATATCTTTTAAAGATCATGGTCTAATTCGAAAACGTGAGAGTTTTAAGCAAAGATTTTCATACCTTGGCATCCTGATTTGAGATAAGGGTTCCCTTCATAACCATGTTTGCAACTGCAACGATAACTTGGACCACCATCCGGTCCAGATCCAACACACTCGCTGTTCATCCCTTTGCAGGCATAAGCACCCCTACTTTTTTCAGCTTCCTCACAAGTCTCGTTACCAGTAACCCAATCAAGAACCATGGAGGAATTTTCGATCTTCAACGTGGAACAACGATCAAGATCGGATCCTCGAACGTGTAGCTCTCTGGTCCGCAACGAAACCATATCCACAACCATTAGGCCTGGAGTCGTGTGATTCGTTGTACATATTCATGATCGTCGAATCGTTAAGAAGATTTAAAAAAACCATGTCGATTGTTTTAACACCCTCATAAATTGAGGTCTGACAGCAGCCACGCCCAGAGCAAGAGCCCTCGGTAACACCCTCGAGGTTGTCGTCGCACAGAGACAAGCAGCCTGTCGTGATGTTTCCATCAAGGATAATAAACCAATGGAGTTGCAGCCTGTGACGGTGAACTTGTTTAGAGTTTTGTTGAAAACGAACGGTGTATCGGTCAAATTGATGCTGGCTTCACTCAGAATTACACTTCCGTTTCGATGGAACCCTTTGGCACTGACCATAGGGCTCCTTACACGTACCTGATTGTGAGCTACGGATATGTCGACAACCTCGTATTGGGTAACCCCGAAGTGTAGGAATGGTTTGGGTGGACTGTAGGAAGCATTGCAGGTTATTTCGAAGCCGTGCATGAAACATTCTTCTCCGATACCGAAAGGGTAATCAATTGTGAAATTCCCACAGCTCCGTTGGCAGCCGGGCGTCGGGTCTCCGGCTGCCGATGATAAAATTGATGCCAAAACAACAATGGACCATATTCGAAACCTGAGCAAAGGATGCTGAGATACAAACATTTTGTCCTAAGCAGGTCAATAAAGTTGGCGAGCATTAGTTATTCTTATATAGTGTAAGGAAAGTAATACATAGGGCGAAAACGAAAGCGATATAGTCAAGTGAGACGAAAGTTCCGTTGGTCAGCGATATATGATAACATTTCAAATTCTATGTTCGGCGTCCAGACGCCATTTCCAAAGAAACATCAACGTTACTAAACCGTGTGTACATTATCCCTTTCAGTTGGAATTTTTAGTTATTGAATTACGCACCACTGCTATATTTTGATATTTTATTTTATTTTATTAGAGTTGAAAATTTTATTTTTAAAATATTTATACCTAACAGCTGTTATCATATATATATATATATAGGGTGAATCCACGAGATAATGTTCTCGAACTTTTTTATTCACGAGATAATGCATATCCCAGATTAATTGCTGAAATGGGGTGAATTCTACAGTGAGCTTGGAGGTCGCCATGGCATCCGAGCGACCTTGGAGGTCGCCATGGCATCCGGGCGACCTTGGAGGTCGCCATGACATCCGAGCGACCTGTGGGGTGTTTTGCAAAGGTAGGTCGCCATGCAATCAAATAGTGTGGTGTTTTCATATTCAATTTTTAAAGCATTTTTAGTCTATTATTGTATTTTATTTACATTTATTTATAATATACATTTAGGCATCTTTGTTTCTCTGTTTAATTTTAAGATTAACAGAGTGTGTATATATAGAAATTTATTATTGAATTTAGAGAAAAAGATTAATTATGAAGTCTAGCATTTGTATTGGAATGTCCAGCGTGAAACGTTGTTGTAGGTCGCCATGCACGTCCCAACACGCTGGGCATCCGAGGCCATCCGAAAGCATTCGATGCCATCCGAGAGCATCCGAGGCCATCCGAACGAGCTATGTGAGGGCATCCGAGGGCATCCGAGCGAGCTATGCGAGGGAATCCGAGGGCAACCGAGCGAGGGTAGGTCGCCCATGTCGCCATGCACTCCGGGCGACCTTGTAGGTCGCCATGTACTCCGGGTGACCTACCCTCGCACGGTTGCCCTCGGATTCCCTCGCATAGCTCGCTCGGTTGCCCTCGGATGCCCTCGCATAGCTCGTTCGGATGGCCTCGGTCGGATGGCCTCGGATGCCCAGCATGTTGGGGCGTGCATGGCGACCTGGTAGGTCGCTGGGCGTGCATGGCGACCTACCCCAGGGACTGTAGAGATCACCCTATCTGAGCAATTAATCTGGCGAGGGCACTATCTCGTGAAAAAAAAATCAACGCATTATCTCGTTGATTTTGCCTATATATATATATTAAGTATATAAATATATTATAATATTTTTAAATCCGGACGATATCACCTTGCTTATAAATCTATTATGTTTTTTTTAGGGTTGGAAATTTTATTTTTTAAGACACTTGCTTATAATATAAGGTAAGGTGATTGTATAGAGGCACTTGTCGCGTTTGATGAAATGAAATATGGCAAAGTAGCACTAAAAAAGACTATGTTTGAAATTTGTATTCTATACAATACTAATCAACAAATATAGTTTTGACCATAAAATAATAGTAAAATATGTTTGAAATTTATAACGAAGAAAATTCTATATAAAAAAAACAAGTTTAACGATAATTTTAAACTCCCTTTGACAATTTCAATAACTTAAATATAAAAATATTTATATTAATTAATAGTACATTTTAATAATACATGTTGAGATAAGTAATAAGATATTATATGTTTCTAAATTAAATCTAAATTTTTTTAATAAAAATAAGATTTTTAAACCGTTTTATACAATCATTTTCTCTATTCTTGGATTTAAGATTAGCACTTTTTATTCAACAATACAATTGTAGCTGAATTATAAGGATACGAATAACAAAAGTTATCGTCAGCAAACTGATGAGAAGGACAGATTCCAGTTAGCTTCTGGTTCCTTCGTCAACCCTTGTTTCGGCACCTTAGCCTTACTCTTTTCATCCTTAGTCTCTTACGAGATTTTCCTAAATACTTTTGGCCAAAAACCGGCCAAAAGCAGCTTCTCCACCTCCTCGAACTGCAACCCTTTGGTTTCGGGTACGAACCAAAAGATGCAAGTGAGTCCAATGACACAAAATAAGGCAAACAAGAGGAAAGTACCGGAGGAGCCGAGTGCTTTGGTGAGCGTCAAGAATGTCTCGCTCACGATGAGATTCGACACCCAATTCGCAACTGCAGCCAATCCACGGGACCGTTCGCATCCCGGGGGAGTATGCTATGATGTACAATCCAAGGAATGCCACCGCTAAAAATCCGAATCGGCTTGGACAACCATCCTTGTACCAGGTACGACGTTTCACGCGACATGAAGCCCTTAGATCATCGGTCAAAGCCAAGCATGCTCCGGAAGTATACTTCGAAAAGAAGGAAGAACGGATATGTCCAATGTCAGCGATTAATGAAATTATGTCAAATTTGAGGGACTAAATCTAAATTAAACCAAAAAAATAATAATCACTTTGTTTACCCCATTAGCACAGAAACCACATTCAGCTCTCAAGCAAGACATGCAGTTCTATGATGTTGGGTTATTAGCTTTGACAAAACTCGAACATGAAGCATTTAGGGAATAGTGTGTGGATTCGAATTGGTCAATTTTCGGAGAATGCATGGCGGCTTGAGAGAAGATAATCGACAACGCCAAAAGATCACAAGCAATGATCCCGATCATCGAAACAATCATCATCATCATCCTCCCATATCTGTCCACAAAGGTCATGCCGACAATAGGGCCGACAGCATTGATACCGGAGGTTATGAGAGAAAGTGCCAATGCCGTCTTGTTTGAAGCGAATCCGGCGAACTGGACTATTCTGGGGCTATAATACATGACCGTGTTAATGCCCGAAAACTGCTGAGCTACTTGAACCGTCACACCTGCATATAGTCCCCTTCGGACAACGACATTCTTAAAAGCACCCTTCAATTTTTGTCCTAGATTGTCCCCAATGGCATGCTCATTGGCCTTTTCGGCTTCTACTGAGACTTTCAAGGCATACAACTCGCCTTCAACTTCATCAGCAGGATATATTCTTTCTAGGATGCACTTTGCCTCGTCTACCTTGTTCTAAACATCAACACTTATATTATTAGGTCCAAATCCGTTGCTAGTCCCTGTACTAATGTTTTATTCTTAAAAAAGCTTTTACCTTTCTGCAAAGCCACCTAGGAGACTCCGGAAGTGACAACATTAACACAAACTGAACCGCAGCAGGGACTCCAGCTATTCCAAGCATCCAGCACCAGGTTCCTGTAACCTGAAAACACATAACGAAATATTAATTAATAATGCTATTAATAATATTATATTTTAATTTTTCAATTGAGTTAAAATTTAGAATTTCATCTCTTTACAGTTACATTAAATTTTATAAATTTATTCAATATCAAGCGAAATTTAAGTTTAATCGTGTATAACAAACAACAATTAATAGTATTATTAATTTAGACTTAATAATAATAATATAAAGTAAAATATTTCCTTACATCGACCGTATCAAACTTGGGCTTTACAATGTTATTTATAGTATATAGGGTCTAGGGATCTAGAGATTTAGGGTTTAGACCAGTTTGTGATTTAATATTTTAAGGTTTAGGATTAAAATAAATAAAGTTTTGAGCAAAAGGATTAAAATTATAATTAAACCTACTATTATCAATACGAGTACGACATACATGAGTGAAAGCCAGATTGATACAGTAAGACAGGAATTGGCCTCCTGTGATCAGCAAACCATTGGTGCTAACAAGTGCACCTCGGATCCGAGCAGGTGAAGCTTCAGAAATATATAGAGGTACGGTCATGGAAGCCATCCCGACACCGAAACCAACGAAGATTCTTCCCACGATAATCATCCATGGTGCCGGTGCCAATGCCATCACTATTAATGCCCCAACAAAGAACAGAACATCGGCAACCAAAATTGGCATTCTTATCCCGAACTTGTCGTTCATCCAACCTCCCAATCCGGCTCCAACGATAGCACCTGCTACAGTCATACTCACTATGTTTTCCTGACATATAATGTACTATTAATACAACCGACAAGGGCCGATGATGTTACGGTTAGAATGATCAGACATTATTGTTTCTTCTTACCTGTAGCCATGTCTTCCTATCAACTTCACGGAAGTTCTCACGGATATAAAGTAGTGCACCAGAAATCACTCCTGTAATACAACATTTGTGGTTTATTTCAGGTTAATTTCACCATAAATCCCTGTGAGTTAATGCTGGAATTAACAAAAGAACTCCATTGAAATGATAATTTAATTTTACGATTCTTTTTGAAGTTTAAGTAAAAAATTAATAGAATTTGATAACTAGTTTTAAGGGATGTGTAACCAGTGTCATAACCAAAGAGGAACCCTCCAATGCCAGCAGACAGTGCGAGCCTCATTATATAAGGTGTCTTCCATGTTGTCTTCCAGCACTCAGTAAACTGTGTCTTGTCTGGTTTTGAGATACCATGTTCCACCATTTTTTTTGACACAGCAAACTCAAAATCTTCCTTGGCTCAAAAGGGTTTCTTCAACAATTATCTATATATGATCCAATCATAATATAACTTCAAGTTCTAAAGCATCTGGATAATTCAGTTTATTAAATAAAATATATCAATCAGAAGAGAATTAGATGATAATTTTTGTCGTAATTGAGAATTGAACATGCAAATTCACTCTTCTTTGGATGAAAATAATAGTATTCAATCATTAAAAACAATAAAAGAGATGAAAAGCTAGTGTACAAAGTATTGGGATAACTAAAAAGTCGATTAGGATAAATACCTAATTAATAATATAAAACGGGTTTTAAAAGACTAAGTCGCGTAAGAAACCTGATTTTCCGGGTGTTGGGTGGGATTGTTCCCAAGCTGTGGCTCCATTTGGTTTAGTTTTAAGAGTGTGTAACAGTGATGATATAATTAGTAAGCATGTGTGCTTACGCGTAAACATATATTTAGAAAGATTAGAAGTCAGTGAGTTACAGAAAAGAAAAGAAAATATATTAAAACTAGTGTAAAGTACATAATTTATGAACTTTGACAGGTATATAGTTTATACCACTGAATTTTTAATTGCTTCAATTATAAAATTAAATTCTGATTTTGACTTTAATTATACCACTAGACTATTAAAATCCAAGCGATGTGATGACATAAAGAAAATAACGTTGTTTTGGTGTGACAATTGAAACTTAAAACGGTGTGATTTTAGGCATTGAACTTTAAGGAATTATTCAAAGAAAGAATTTATGGATGTATCGATTTTTTCACTATACTTTTAAACGGTTCACTTTTAGACACGTATTTTTCAGGTCGTAGTGGTAGTGAATTGTCGATTGGCCGCTACTGGTCACCATTCGTAGAAAGATCGATATCAAAACATTCATTTCACTCATCTTTCTTCTCTTACGATTGATTTTTCATGAAATTCACTCAAAATCAAAGAAATTTTAATAGCTTGTCGATTTTAAGTATATTTTATAAAAAATTAATCTGATATAAAAAAATAGAAATGAAATTTAAATAATTTAATATCAATTTAATCACGAATGATGACTTGATATACCAAGTGGAAATGATGATATACCAAACGGAAATGGTGGAGCATTTTTTATGAAGTGGATAGGCTGTCCAGGGTCGTAGCTCAAGTGCAATTCTTGTATGTTCCGAGAATTCAAAAAGGTATGGCAGACCTTTTGGCGAAAGAAGGTATATCGAGAGAAGAATTATTCAAAGCATGGCCGCATGAGGTACGCACAGAAAGGTTTTTGTGTTGGTTGTAGCTTGGGGGTGCTGTTTATCAAGTTTGAGTGGTTGGCTATGTAAAATATTGAGTAGCGTTTTTTACTGAAACAGTGGAGTCTTGAGTAAAGTTTAATTTGGAGTTTGCACTTTCTCAAGTTGATGAGTACTCTTTTACTCTAATCAGAGTTAGAGATTTTTAACGAGACACTCGACTTTAGTTCTTAATAACTAATAGTTTTTGCTGAGAGAAAGAAAATATACCAAGTAATACCGATAACCAAAAAAAATTCAGTACGTAAAATTGAATTATTTTGAAATGTCCGATTCTGAGTGGTCCAAACATAAAGAAAACCCAGAATGGTGCAACGTACGTATAAGATACCGAAAGTATTGGACTTATTGGTATCCCTAAAGCTCTTTCAAACTGTCGGCAGTCTATCTACCAATGTGTATCACCATGGTCGTCCTATATATACATATAAAGCTTCTGTTGATGTATAGCTATACAATGCAGAGAAAGCAAGTGTTCTGGCACTGATTATAGCGTTTAAAGGGAGCAAAAAAGTCGAGAAAGACAATGAATGGTGGTCCAGTGAGGAGGCAAACTATTGAATATAACCACATGGAAAGGTGGCCAAGGTTTCTGGTTTCAGCTCAAGTATCGGTGCATGGCCAAAATAAAACTGGTAAAGGCAGCTGACACGTACGGTTTGACATCGACAATGGCGTTGGCGTTGCCATTTCATTACTGCAACTGCAACGCCAATTCAACGAGGTTGGCAAATGCTGCAGACCACGAGAGCCTCTGGTTTTGTGTAGCTTAGCTGCTACTGCCGCTGCTGCTGCAAAAATTATATACTCAAGGGCGTATGGCCCTACAATTTATGAATTTAATGAACATGTCATGTCAACAGCTACTAAATCAAAGTTTCACGTACCTGATGAACATCCCTAGGGTAGGGCTATGGCCCTCCACTCCCAACATTCCTGTTCCATTTCAACTATAGTTTCAGAACACAGTTCTCCCACAGTATAACCATCTTTCCATTGGCATTGGAAATCAATTATTTCCGTAAATCATTGAAGTGCCTGGCCTGCTTCTCCTACTTGTTCTCTCTGTCCTAGTATTTATGTGCTTTATCTATACTTCATATCATTAACACGTCATTCATATTAGATTTAGATATTTGATTTTAATTTACACCCACAATTCTAATTCATTTTTTAATCGATATTTTTGTGTGTGTGGTAATTATAAGAATTTTAATTAGGTATAAAGTTAAGTAGAGTTTAACCTAACTCGGGAATAAAGTTTTTCCATTTAGCACTTACAGGATTAAACCTCAAGTTTGACTTAATTATGATAGTTTAATCTAATAAATTAACACTTAAATTAGGATGAAGATTAAATTGATAAAATTTTTAAATATCAATGATTTATTATTTTAAATTATGATTAAATTTATAGAATATATAAGTTTGAGTCAAAATTGTCATTATATCATGTCATCTCACAATTTTCATTAAGTTTTTAGCGACTGATAACTAAATATGAAAATAGATCATGTTGTAATAGTTTAAAAAATCCAATAATTGTTTTGTAATATTTAAAAAAATTTAAATCTACATATAATCAGTTACGAGTTTACCAAAAAAAAAGGTTGGTTGACCAAAGTAAAAAATTATTATTGATATAGATTATTTTATAATAGTTCGACAAGCTTAATGATTATTTTAAAATATTTAATTTTTTTCAAATAAGAAAATAATTTTTACATAGTTCAATAACTTCTTATGTACTTTATCTTATATAAAATTGTAGAGGAACAAACAAGTGTCGAGTTGAGAATTTACTCACTTGAACTCAATCTAATTGTTATATTCATCATCTAATCAGATTTAAAGAGGATCAATTTGACCCAAAACTTGATTTAATTTTGGGATAAAAATTTACACACACATCCAACCCAATATTGATACATATACATATATATATTCTTATTTTTAATCAGTACAGTAGAAACTTAATTGAGAAAATAGATAAATATATTATTACCATTATCCACAATTATTTAAGAGATAAATATATCATCTCGAAATAGGTCGGTCCAATATTTTCACTATAAACTTGAATATGATAGAATCTAATATTAATTTTTTAAAATCTAACTCAACCAAATCCAAATTCAATTTTTTTAGATAGAAAGTCGACTCTATAAAAAACTCTTCCTTAACATAATCTTAGGTAGAAAAAGAAGGCCCAAAAGTGGGCCCAGTAAATTATAGGGGATAGCTATACCGGTAGGCAGAGTAAATGCAAGAACGAAAAATCTGGCTGGCTCTGGCCCCCGACTCACTACTCAGCTTGAGCCTGAAGCCTGAAGCCTGAAGCCTGAACCTGAGCTTCCTCCTCGTATCACCTCCTTGCAATTTGCGTCTAACCCTCTTTTTTATTCCTCCACTTGATCAAACGAACAAAAACATTAAAATCATTTGATTTTGTTGTTCTCTCAGCCCATTCGCCGTTACCCAATCATTGCATTTTTCCCACATCAGATCCTTTCTTAACGCTTACCATTTTAGCCATTTCATCGTCGTCCACACACGAAAGAAGGGCTCCTCTGCTTTCAGCTTCGCAGCTCGTTGTACAGTTGGTGAGTACAATGAAAACGCGATCTATTTCTTTAATCTTTTAGTGTATTCATTGTTTTTTATATTTTACAATTTGGTGCGGCAACAATGGCTTTGATTTATAATTTTTTATTAAGAAAAGTTTATCTCGTTTTTTGTTTTTTACTCTGCAATGTGAATTCCTTTGGCCATATGTGAGACTTTGCTGGTGCTGTTAGGTACTTAAACTTGTTTAGGCCAACTGCAAATTATATATTTTGATAGTAGTTTGCTTGGTGACTTGAATATCTAATGGCATCTCTTTGATGGAAAACTGAGTCTAGATAGGTCATAATTCCATTTTGTTTGTTCATTGCTTGTACTCTATGATCAAGAGCATATCTCGATTTACTATTCTTTGGTTGTTCCAGTCACTGTTTATTAGTTTTCCCGATCATGGTTTCTTTTTCTCAGTGAAGAGTTTATGGGCTGCCTACATAGCAGTAAAGTTTCGGGATCTGCAATTTTAACTCTTTTGAAAAACTTTCCTGTGAAGAAATAAAAAACTTTTAATGACTCAGTTTTCGGTATCTGTCATGACCCATGAGGCGCATTTAGGGATTGCTGAAGAAGAAAAGGGGAATACGAGGAAATTAGGGATTGAAATTAGGAAATTAGATGAAGGGCAGAAGGATATGGTTGTTATTACCTGATGGACCAGGAACTTTGGCGTGGGCTGATGAAGCTAAGGAGGGAGTGCTTAGTGGACCTGAGAAAGAAAACGAGCCCAATAACCTACATCAACAGTAAAAGACAAATCTGTTAAGGGAATCTAGTTTGTTGATAAATAATGGACAGCTGGCATTCTGTTATGGCTATTTCTATAAAATCAGTTGAAATGAGCATCAAATTTTATGAATGAAAATATTGAGAATTCTGTTTCTTCAATCTCTCTTCTCTTTTTTCTTAATCCTTTCTAAAATTCTTGAGCAAATCATCACAGTATCTTTAACATTTTAGACAAGGAATAAGACAAGAAACCTTATTGATGGAGCCCCACATGCACTTAAAACTGAAAGTACAAGGCTTCATATATAAATAAAGTTTATGTTTGCGGATCACATTTGAGAGGTAACGTTCAGACTTCAGAGCGAGCCTATTGAGCTATGATATTTATCTTGTATGGTGCAATGCATAAGTTCATTCTTATTTCAATAGTATAAAGTATCTTATACTACAGTTGTAGGTGATAATGCAATATTGATTTCTTGAAGATCTTCGTTGCTATAGAATTTTTGTTCAAAGAATATTAAGAAACCTTATCTTCCCCGTTCTTGCCTCCCATTTTTTGTTATTTAATGTCACTTTTGTCTGTAATTTTGAAGTTTATACAAAAAACCAGTAGGATGTTTTACTAGTTAATAGGCAAAGTGGAAGCATAGGAATCTTAGGAGCACTACTATTTGGGATGAATATGTAATGTATTTTTAGTTCCAGTGTAGTAGTCACATATTGTATTAGCTCTTGTTTGAGACTTGTAATATGGCATTTATGAGATTCTTTTCAGTATCCTCTAAAGTAGCAAGTTGTTCAAATGTGATTCCCACTGATGACCAGACATTTATCTTATGTTCTTGTTTTGTGCTTTAAAGATCCAAGTCATAGAAGGAGCGTAAGGGGGATTGCATGTGCCAGGCAAGTTAGAAGCATGTTCACCGGAGGGATAAAGGTATTGTTCCTTGTCTTCATGGGATTACATGTGTAAGACCTTAATTAGTAGCATGTCACTTGTCGCACCAAACCAGATGCCTTTCTTTACGTTTTATGTTCTGATGAAAAATTTACTTATCATGAATCTTTTAGCTGAATTATATGTTGTATGCTCTTCTGACTAGTATTTGCTGTGAGTTGCAGTATTTGTTGATGGTTTTAGTGTTTCCCTATGGCTTTTGTTGTCACTGCAGTGAACTTAACACCTAGAGCGTTGAGGATAGATTTTCCTACTCTACTGGATACAGAGTGGATTAGAAGTTACCGATTGATGCAATATCTGCTTCATAATATCAGCATTTTCTCAGATTCTGCATATAAGCAATTGCTGAGTAGCATTTTGTACTTATTATACCTTCCCTTCCTTTCAAGTTTCCTTTTCCAGCTGCTTTTGCTCCTTTATTCTCTAAACCCATATTTATTCTTGAATAGGAAAAGGTTGGCTTCTCCTATGAGATAATTTTAGTCCCAGAAAAGAACCTGAATGCTATTCATTATTGATATGATTGTATAGAGTGACAATCTTTGGAAGGTTGGAAAATGGCTTTTGTTTCGGAGGAAGAGACAACTAATGAGTACCTTTTCAAGATTGTATTGGCCGGTGATTCAGCTGTTGGGAAATCGAATTTACTTGCAAGATTCGCGAGGGATGAATTCTACCCTAATTCCAAGTCAACCATAGGAGTGGAGTTTCAAACCCAGAAGGTGGATGTAAATGGGAAAGAAGTCAAGGCACAGATCTGGGATACAGCTGGTCAAGAGCGCTTTAGGGCTGTTACATCTGCATATTACCGAGGTGCAGTTGGAGCTCTCCTTGTTTATGACATCAGCAGACGACAGACTTTTGAAAGCATCGGCAGATGGCTAAATGAACTTCAGTGTAAGAACCATGATGAACTTTTGTTTTCTTGATTACACATGCTTACTATCCAAGTATAAACCTTCTCAATATGAATCTCATTTCTATGCCATCAAAAGTCACTTGAAGTTCAAAATGTGCTGGCTCGATCCTGTTTTCAGACTTCAAAGGGACTAGTTGCCATATTATGGCATATTTTACCAACTACAAAGTTTTTCCCTTTTGATTTCCTTTCTTGGGAATGTTATAGAATTATCAGTTTTGGGCCTTGATAGTTAAGTACTAACTTGTGCCGTTTATCGTTTTGGACAGCTCACTCGGATATGAATGTAGTCACCATTTTAGTAGGCAACAAGTCGGATCTCAGAGATGCGAGGGTAGTATCCACTGCTGAAGGAAAGGCCTTGGCGGAGGCACAGGGTTTGTTTTTCATGGAGACTTCTGCTCTTGATTCGTACAATGTAGTAGCCGCATTTCAGACAGTCGTAAAAGAAATCTACAATATATTGAGCAAGAAAGTTATGATGTCTCAGGAGCTGAAGAAGCCGGAGTCATCTTCATTTAACGGGAAGACTGTGGTTCTACAGTTGGAAGAGAACCAGCAAACTGATACGACTCCAACTGGTGGTGGTGGGTGCTGTTAGTCCTAATGCTTCATAAATATAAACCCTATGCTCCGGTCCAGTAGGTTCAGCCTAAAGTTTCAAACTGGAACAAGTTGCGGTAATTTATTCTTGCATTGTTCATTTTTTGATGCACTGCTGGTAAAATGTTAATAAACATTTGTTCGACTTGTTCACGGTAATCTTATGGTGGCCGAGAGTTGCAAAAAGAATGTAAATGGAATGATTTAATTCAAAGCTTATTAGATTTTGCAAATTAAAATTATGGATTTAAGTACTCTGTCTGTCTTCCAAATTTCGATGTACCAAATCCAAAATAAATAAATAATAGAAGCATTAAAGAAGAACCCTTTCAGTCCCAACACTGTTGGCACATTGCAACCTATACGCATGCCACTCATTTCAGTAACTTAAAGACAAAGCATATTTCGAAAGAGAAATAGTGCATGGATGAATACATGCATGCATGTATGCCATTACCGGCCCTAACCTATTATTCCATCAAACATGTCCTTCCAAGCTCCAATTCTATTACATGTGCTATACATACAAAGAATATTATATAAATAATTTCAACATTCTTTTTGGACTCTTCTTCCTTTTAACGTAGCTTTTGCACCTTCTCACTTAGCTTCCGCATACACTAACGCTTTCCTTTTGGACAATGCTGCTTTCTGCTTAGCTGCCGATTCTATTCCCTTTCTTTCAAATCATTGTTTATATCTCTATGCCTTCAACTAATTCAACTAACCATGCACGGGAAACCATGTCGCCAACATGGATCCTACTATATATAGCTATAAATTGAGTACACACGTAAAGCAAACCACTCAAGCCAAGGCTCCTTGCATAGCAAAACATCGACTATATAGAGTATTTGAATTTGGCGATGGAAAGCATTAATGAAGCTACTGTCATGCAATCATCCATAGCTCTACTGCAAGAGAGATTCAAGCAGTTGGAGAGAATGAAGGAGAAGAGAGAACGGAATAAGCTACTGCTACTTCAAAGGCTGCAGCCTAAACAGTTGACTTATAGCTATGAGTCGCCGTCGGGGTTGTTGTTCTTCCATTTCCTGCCTACTGTAGCAGCGGCTCATCATGGTGGTGGTTTTGGGTGCATGGACGCACCATTTTTTGCTAGATTTTCTCCCGCTGTCTCGGAGGAAACCTGTTCCATGCATGTCTCTCGGAACAGGTTGCATGATTGGGATTTGAATGATGATCATCTTGTGGATACCTCGCTTCATCTGTAACAAAATTAACCCCATGGGTCTTGTTAAGTGTTTGATGCGTGTGGTAAGTGGCGAGCATAAGACTGAATTGTCCCACACATTCTGTTTTGTTGATTTTCGTTAAATGTGTTTTGTTGTTAATTCGATTTAGACTAATTAAGCTGATCATTCCATATATAGTTAAAGGTTAATAGATTATGTACGAAACGCTGATTGAACTAACCGACTCGACCCAATCCATTACATGGTAGCTTATGGAGTAAAATACATATCCCATATCCAATTGAGAAGTTGCAAAAGGCACCTGATGTTTATATTGTGCTTTATGGAGAGAGGGAGGTTCCCATATACCGTAACGGGCCTTGCCCTTTAACTTTCTTACCCAATGTAACATGTTTCCATTTCTAATAGTTAAAAGGATTTCAACAACATACTACACACCATGACTCAATATACAAGATAAAATATGATGTGATTTATGAATCATGTTCTCTTTAGTATGCACTCTCGAGTTACTTTTAAAGATTAAAAGATAAAATCTTTGAAATTAAGGCACTTTGAAAATATACTACTTTGGGAAGATTCCTTAATAATTTTTATTATTGTCATGACTTTGGGAAGTGAGGATCGAAGCAATGTAGGCCGTAATGAGAAGTGGAGATACAGATGGTTTGTACAAGAAAGGTGTATCTTTCATATCAGCAAGAACATCATTTAATAGGTGTACAATGGCTAATAACGGCTCAACAGCTTCCTTCTAACTGCATAACTGCCTTAGCTAACCTCTTAACAATCTAACCACCTCTTAACAGACTAACCACCTATCCAATGCACATAATGCACATACACTCGAGCACACACCAGCAGTACAACAAACCAGTAGTCTAACATTCTCTCTACTTTTTCTTTCCTTTTTTTTACAACAACTACACTATAGACACCACACACACATTGTTGCGAAATTCTTCAAAAGAAGTTTTGGACAGAGCTTTGGTGAACCGTCTGCAACTTGGTGCGCGGATGGAATGTAGTTTACTTTTAATAGTCCAGCAGCAACTTTTTCCTGGACAAAATGAACGTCCATGTCAATGTGTTTGGACTGAGCGTGATAGACTGGGTTTGCACTCAACGCTACTGCCCCTGAGTTATCGTACCATATCACCGGTTCCTGTCGCTTCTGAATACCAAGTTTAGCAAGCAGAGCATTTACCCATGTTATTTCAGCTGTAGTGTATGCCACACATTTATATTCTGCCTCCATGGTAGATCTTGACACAATTTTTTGCTTTTTAGAGCTCCAAGCAACAAGGCACTTTCTTGCAAATACGCCATAGCCAGAGATGGACCTGCGATCATCAACACTCGCACCTCAGTCTATCAGTAAACGCAACAACCCTCAAGTAATCGTCTACTGGTCGAAATAACAGTCCATAATTAAGAGTACCAGCCAAGTATCTTAGTATGCGCTTGACTGCAACATATGCGCTTCACGTGGCGCATGTATGTATTGAGCCACTTTCCCAACGCTATAAGCCAGATCAGGTCGTGTGTGGCACGCGTATAACAACGATCCAACTATACTGCGATATTCTGTAGCATTGGTTAGGAGATCCCCATCGTTTGCTGATAATTTGGAAGCTAAGACCATTGGCGTTCCACAGCTGGTAGCTCCCTTGAGTCCTGCCTTTTCAAGAAGCTCAAGTATAAATTTTTTCTGACTTAACACAACATTGCCACGCAATCGATGTACCTCTATTCCCAGGAAATAACTAAGCAGTCCTAAGTCTTTGAGAGAGAATTGTTCTCTAAGCAACTTCACTACCTCTTGAATTCTACAAGCTGATCACCCAGTAATAACTATGTTATCGACGTATACTAATATATAAACTTCAGAGTCATGTTCCTTACTGATGAACAATGACGAATCTGCTCGGGACATAGTGAACCCCATTCCAATAAGACTGCCTCTAAGCTTGGTATGCCAATTCCTGGGCGCTTGTCGAAGGCCGTAGAGTGCCTTGTGTAGCTTGCAAACAAGAGGGGTTCCATCCTCAGCCATTTGCTCGAATTCCGTCGGTTGTTTCATGAAAACAACTTCCTCTAAATCCCCATTAAGGAACGCATTATTAATGTCCACATGTCTCAATTCCAAACCATTCGTAACAGCTAGAGCTAGCACAATATTGAAGGTGGAAAACTTCACAACCGGGCTAAAGGTATCTGTGAAGTCATAGCTGGGAACTTGTGAGAAGCCCTTTGTAACTAACCGAGCTTTATACCTATGGACAGATCTATCAGGATTTCGCTTGAGTTTGAATAGCCACTTGTAGCCTACAGGGACACGCCCAGCAGGTAGTTTTACTACGGACCACGTATTGTTCTTTATGAGGGCATCATATTCGGCTTGAACAGCTGCTCTCCAGTTATCAGACTGCAGTGCATCTTGGACTGAGGAGGGAACTTCATCTTCAAAATAGCTAGAGAATGACTTGGGCTTAAATACCCCGCATTTGCTGCGAGTTAACATGGGGTGATAGTTTTGCCTTAGTACATCTACATCATCATTACGAGGATCACAGGACAGATTATCACACGTATCAGTTCCATTGACAGCATGCTCATCTGCAGCAGTTGTGTTAAGATCTGAGCTGGTTGTAGTAGTTATTTCTAGAACGAGCACAGCTTCTCCGACAATATCTGAGGCCGGAACGGTTTCAGCAACAACCTCAGGCAGCGTTTGTTGTTGTATTTGAGCTGTTGCAGTTTCAGCCTCTTCTTCAGGCACATTATCATTGACAGGAACAGCTACTTGACGCCACATTGTAGGATTAGAGACAATTGGTATTTCTCGAGTCTGCCACGTTGGCGGTCTTTGGTGAACCTCGTCAGAGCCTTTACTTGCAAACGAAAACACTAGCTCATTAAATATAACATGGCGTGATATATAAACTCGTCCATTACTCGCAAGGCACTGATAGCTCTTATGCTTAGGACTGAAGCCAAGGTACATGCAAGATTGAGAACGAAACGCCAGCTTATGATTTTGAAACGGCCTTAGATGCGGGAAGCATTGACATCCAAACACTTTCAGCGTGGAATACTCGGGTTTCTTGCTGTACAGCTTCTCAAAGGGTGAGACCCCGTCAAGGACCTTGGTGGGCAATCGATTAATGAGGTGTACCGAGGCTACCATGGCATATGACCAAAACTGAACAGGCAGGGATGCTTGAGCCAGTAGTACTAATCTGAGTTCCACTATGTGTCGGTGCTTTCGTTCAACGACACCGTTCTGTTCTGATGTATGAGGGCAAGACAGCCGGTGTACTATGCCTGCTCATGCTAACAACGTAGAGAATGGTCGATATTCTCCCCCCCAATCAGTTTGAACAACTTTTATTGATACTCCAAACTAATTTAGAACAAACTTGTGAAATAATTGAAACGCAGGTAGAGCTTGAGCTTTATCTTTTAGGAAGTAAACCCATGTAAATCGAGTACATGCATCTACGAACGATATGTAGTATCGATATCCATTAGATGCCACATGTGGGGGACCCCATAAGTCTGAAAAAACTAACTCAAAGGGGACTGTATGCTGAGTAACAGAAGGTACAAAGGGAAGCTTGTGGCTTTTCCCCATGTGACAAGCCACACATGTTTTATTAATTTCAGGATCAAGTTTTACATTGATTTCCTTAGCTATTTTGTCTAATGCATACTGAGCAGGATGCCCTAAACGCCTGTGCCACAATTCAGACTGGTCTTGAGACAAATTTGTTGCAACAAGGTGCACAGCAGCACGCGGTTCTTCTTTGTGTGCACAACCAAAAGCAAACGTATACAGTCCACCCTTTTCTTCACCACGCAGCAGAACCTCTCCAGTGGATTCATCACGTACGAGATAATTTGAAGCATGAAACTCAAAGTAGACTGCATTGTCCCTAGCAAGCTTGGATACCG